GTCGTTACTGCAGAATTGATGTTAGAGCCTTCGTTTCGGAATATCCAAAGAAATTACTGAAGGGAAAGTACTGTACTATGAACTGATCCAATGCTGATCCCGGTACATGACACGATATCTCAAAGAGCCATATGACCTGTGACAGGGCGGACTTTGAGGGTGACACTCTGCTCTCCGCTGACGTGGGTGGTACGGGCTCACGCCAGATGCTTTGAAGACCTGGAGAGTAGAGTAAAAGGTGCACGCATTTTCGGAAAGGGTCTGGTTAGGACTTCAAATAGGGTTTGGGGTTTAGATAAAATTTGGGATGCGGGTGAGGAGTTTGGGTTTTCTGATTTTGGGCTCTCAGGTTTTGGATTGGGGCTTCGAGCTCGGCAGCTCGGACTTGCTTACTGCAGGCTTCAGGGCTCCCTGGCGACCCACTCAAAGAGTCCCTTCTGGTGCTTACTATCTTCGCGTACGTGGGTCGGCTCGGACAACAGTATTTCTCGTTACCTGTGTCCCTCGCACTTAATTTAGAGAGGGCTCCAACACTTGACGAAGACTTGAGGCAGCAGGCTTGAGGATAAAGCTGGAGTGCTAGTGGGGATTCCCGCTCAAGGTCAGGCCATGACCACAGTTGTGCATTTGAATCCATTGCGCAGCTTCCCCCAAACAGGCGGACGGGGTTCGCAAAACAAGGCATTGATCTCAAAAAGAGAATCAACCGTGCATTCCTACGCTTCAGGCACTTTGTGACCCACCTTTCTCCGAAGCATGTGGACCGTCCTGGTAAAGGTCAACTGCGTAGTGCAACCTCCTGAACGCTTTTGCAGAGGCCCAGCCAATTTCCCGAAGAATGGTGACCCTTACGCTGCCTTACCATCTGACACACCCTTGCCCCCGAAACCCACGTGGGAGTCGGAACCAGGACCATCTGTGCGATTTTTCCGGAAGGTTCGTCTCACAATAGTGGCTAAGATGGACCCAACAACGCCCTTCGAGCAAGTACCATCGAATCGCAGAGCTTCTGATGGAGATATCCCGTTCTCCGTAGATTGCTAATTAGATCCCTCTACCACGCTCAGGCCTGCATTTGTTTCTTCCGCCCCCGACGCTGCATCCGAAAGAGAGTGACTTCTTCGTCCGCCAGCTCGGGGCCAGGGATATTCCAAGAAGTCGAGGCTTGCAGGTGAGAATTTATCAGGCTGAATTCAGAAACGCTCAGTGCCAGTGCTCTTTATGGGGGCCATGTAAACTTGAACGGACCGCCCACCAAAATAGTGTCCTTAGACTTAGGACTCAGGACAAGTGTTTTTGGAGTTTGTCTCCGGAACAGCACAGGGACTTGAAGAATTTCATGAGAAGTTTGGGTAGCTGCAGCCTGTTTGATAGCCATCGTAGAATCTTGAGGGAAGAGGGTTGTGATCTTGGTTTGCACTTGACACAGGTGAGTCGTTCTTTCTGCTTGCAAGAACCCCAGCGTGAAAGACATCCACTCCCCGCGTAACAACCCGGGAGCCTCAAAGGCAACTCTGCAGGAAGTGGTGCTCTTCCAAACGGAATCTGCTGCATGTCCATGTTTGTTGAGGAAGTTAGGGCAGGGTGATTCCGTCTGATTTGCGGAGCAATCTACAGTAATCCAGCCCGCGTGAAGGTACCTCCAGAGCGGATGATTTATGAGAAGCAGTCCGAAGCTCATTTCTTTTGAGTTCGGCTGTCAGGCTTTTCTTCAGCGAATTTTGTATCTGAAATTTATTGATATGCTGATCGAACAGGGTGTGCACAGGGCACACACGAGCCCTGAACTCGTAGACCTGAAACCTCTGGTCAGTCTTCGGGGTTTCGGCGCTGCATGAAGAGGGCGGAGGGCCCCGAATAAAAGACTTGTCCTCAGACCTGTCGCCCCTAATTTGTTTCGGGTCCGTGCAGGTGGCCACATGCATGAACTTGTCATGGCATAGGCGGTGGAGGCCCTGCATTCGAACAATACCATCACAAAAGCCCTAAAACTAAAAGGCCGCCAGACGCATGTGGTCTACTAGAGGTACTGGCTATCGCGCATTGTTGAGTCTTCGTGGGAAGGGAGCAGCATCGATGATGACAATGCAAAGCAGATTACTATCGACGAGGATGACAATGATAATTATCGCTGTGGTCGTTGTTACGAAGCAGTTCGTGGTCGTTGCTACAGATCAGTGAGCATGTCACGGTGGTGACTGTAGAGGGGTCGCCAGACATGATGGCAACAAGATAGAGAAAACATGGTTGAGAACAGCAGTAGCGTCAGTAGTCGTTCCCACATTCATACGCCAGGCTACAGCCCGAATGATTAGGAGTGTTATATATATATATATCATTGAATATGCCCCAGAGCCCTGCTGTAAGTATTTCAGCTTTACAGTACCGAAATAGTTGACTTACACCTCCGGGAGCAATACTCGTTAAGAGACATCCCAGAACATGAGCTTCAGAGGGTCCTCTTCATGAAAGAATGCTAATCTTATTGTGTGTGGGGTATTCGGTTGTGCCATTGTTCATTCCTTCCCATTCACCCTCATGGAGAGCCCGGTATGCCGACGCAACAGGTTCAAGAACGAGCGCTTCGAAAGCTTCATGGAGGCCCTTGCTGGCATCATCGTTTCCCAGGGTTGAGTCTACTCAAACTTGAGGGTTCCCCAAAGTTTGGGGCTTCCATGGCTAATGCCTTCCTAACCCCCAACCCGTCTCCAACCAGCAAGCTTTTCCCAAGACACAATGAAGCCCCAAACCCAACGGCCCCAAATCTCCCCAAGTGTCACCTTGCAGGTGCTGCAAACTTTCCTGATGGAAGCCGGCATTGTCAAGTGTGATACTTGGACAAATTGTGTGTGGCATTGGGAGGAAACCGCGGCCTACATCTTTCAAAGCAAGGGGAGGAGAGAGAGAGAGAGTCGAACGGGAGTTCATTTTTTTTTGCCGTGAGAGGGTGATTTTGCTTAGGCTGGCACTCCTCACATGCGCCTCGAACTTGCAATCCCAAACTGTACTCAATCCAGACCCAGGACGAAACCTTTATCTAGAACCTGCGCTCAACATCTTCGAGCCTGAACTCCAAACCGTCAGGCCAGCTTTGTCAACACCTTCTCAAAGCCAACAATACGACTACAACCTCTGAAAGGTCTCCAGATCTCATTTACACGCCGTTCAGTCTTTGATAAATCTTGTATATGCCACGTGCAATCCCCGAAGATCTTTAGTCCCCAGCCCCAAAACCCTGCAACAAAGCACGACGATACACGAGGCCACCTATGCTGGCTTGTTTGGCAGTGGCCGGTGTTGCTGGCGTCCCAGTAAGTGCGCACTCAGGGCTAAAGTTAGAGCTTTTTGCGGGTGCTGGCAGGAGTGAAGTGACCATGCGGAAGATTGCCAGATGACAGAGGGTTTGCCGAAACGACTTCTGGTGTAGGGCTAGGGACTTTGACTGATATGTGTGCGCAATGCCATCCCGTAAGGATGACACAAGCATCCGGCACAAATATTAGGAAGCAATAGAACCGCAAGACAGCTGCGGGCGTACAATGGAAGTCCACCACACAAGAACGGCAGTGAACAGGTCTTCTATACTATCTTCGCTTTGCCCATGACTACTAGCATAACAAGGGGAACAAGCTGAAAGAATGCTGGCATCAGGTCGTGGACAACTCTGCCAGGTTCGTGAATCTCGGCCAGGGGCTTTGGCTATACATGTTACATGAGAGTTCTTCTTCCAGTCCACGCGAAACTACTGAATGACAACTTCATCTGTTTGCCTAGACGTAGCAGGATCGAAGATGCGAGTACAGGCGGGGGTCATAGCCAATAATGCCCCTTTTCTTACAGGCATTGAGACTTCGCTAGAGGACCTTCTGTGGGAGTAGCGAAAATGTGAGCCTTGTGTATACAGCCCTTCTCGTTGTTACAAGTGGAGTTACAAGTAGGAAAGTTACGGATACGACCTGAATTAGTGTAGGTAAAGCCCCACTGAGGACCTTAGGAGGTAATTGCACCTACCCTTTCCTCACTACGGGACCATGATACGCAGGTTTACATGACCTGAAAGCAAGCAATTTAAAGGATCGGACAGGTGGGGAGGTGTGCCTTTCCCCCAAGATTGAACATCCTGACCCCCGAATCTGGAACATACTTTGCAACATGTCTGGCCTGTGAAAGCATTCTTGTTCTTTCAGTCCACAAGATTGCATACCTAGGTTGCCAGCGCAATTTCATCACATGTTGGGTCCTTCTGTTCTACCCGGAAACTGGCGCTCCAACATATCAGCTTGAGTGCAGTGGGAATTGTGGGAAGCCTGCAGGAGTATACTGAGGAGCTACCAAGCCTCTTAGCTTGGCCTGTTCAGGACTATTGGGTTACCAACTCCACTTGGATCCTGCTTCCTTCAGGCTGGGAGATCAGCGGCCGAAAGATTGAGGAGGCTATGGTGGTGCCAGGATCAATGATGTCAATTGCGAAGTGGGGGCACCAGTTTCAACCCCTGTCTGCAACTCTTTGATACATTTCTCAGCTCAATGTACAATCAACATCCCAACCCTCAAACCTACTCTGGGCAGGCCATGGGCATCGGTCGCGTGGAGCTCATCAACGTGCGCCAAAGGGGGGGAAGATGAGTTCATGGAGTATACAGGGCTCATCGTGGGCACGCCGATGTAGTCCAGCCTGAAAGTGAGTACGAGGCTCCAGAAACTGGCGAGCATATTTAAAGACACAAGTATCGTCTCCTCTAATCTGGAGAGCACGGAGAGCAGGAGTTCGGACCAAGTGTCAGCGGCATTAGGCTGTTAGACTCTGATGCGCACTTTTCCATGCAAGAATCGGCACTTTTCAGCCAACCTCCTTCCATGAGCCCAACATGAGCGCTCACATAACGGGACCTATTCTGTGCTACCAGAGATTTTCTTCGGATGTGCATTTGCCTCCTAAACCTGACGACCCCACCTGGGCCATTTCTTGGGCATAGTGATTGTCGGATTGTCGAGTGCTGGCCAACAAACCAATGAGACAAGCTGAAAGCTGAACACCAAGAATTCATACTGCCCACAATCCTGGAGGTAAGATTGTCAAGTAACTTCGGGGTCATGCAGGCCTTCGTATTCCTCCCCTCTCTACTAGCGAGTACAATGGCCTTGAATTTTGGGGCAGGCATGAAGTCAGTCTCATGCCCTTTTGTGGAAGTCCATGTAGAGGGGATCCTGCCCTGATCACTTCTGGTTGATCTGACATCGATTCGCAAAGTTCTAGACATCCCGCTTCCAGGAAAACCAGTATGTTGATGGCTGCGTTACATTACAAGAGAGCATGCAAGTAGCAGCAGGCTGCTATGATTTGCATCGGGTAGTCCATGGCAGCCCTGCATTGCCAGGATTTCGCCGCCCAAGGCTATGGCATTCTTACCCTCAACAGAGAGAAGGACAGCAGTTGTCAGTGAAAGCTGTGCTTAACGGTTCGTGGTTCGTTGATATGCCTAATCACGCCCACGGCCTCCAAGAGGTGTTGAACTTTTCGTGATAGTGCGTTCAGGATAGAAGAAACCCGAACTGGTTTCATCGTTTCGTGCGAAATGACTGTGTAGGCTAAAGCACCACATCAAGCGTAATCTTGATTCATTCTAGCACCATGGAAGTTGCTCAGAGTCACCTTCTTCTGTTGGCGGCTCTATGTGTTCAGGCCTCGTCCGCCTTCACCCGCAGACTTGCAGTGATGTACGCCACAGACTGTTTGATGTTTGAATCTGGCCACGAACCGACGTTTTCGGGAACCTCTCTTCCATGATTGACGTAGGGACCAGGATTAAATACCCTACATGGTCTGGACCTATCCCAACAGAGAACTGCCGCAGTTTGGGTGTGTTTGGAATCGTGAGCAGAAGATTCGGCCTTGCATGCGGGTCAACATAGGCTGCTCAAAATCAACTCCGTGGTATGGGACAATGATCTTGGGCAACACCACATCTCGTGCCCCAAAGATCGTTGAAGTCGGAAGCTGGCCAAGCGAGAGTGAGGACTGCGATGTTCTTCAGAAGGCCACCGTGAAGGCTGGGGAGGGTCGTTTCGGACCATTCAGCAGAGTTTGCGGGTTCCAAACTTATGCGCTCCTTTCAGGGGGCGACACGCAGCCCGGCTGCCACACCTTTTGATTGGCTGAATGAGTGCAGGAAGACTCGTGTGCATGCCTCGATTTTCGCACAATTTGCGTTCAAAGCGTGAAAAAAGAAGCAGGCTGTCTGGGGGCTTTTGCTCCTACGCATTCGGATCCATTTGTTGTCGCTCGGCCACCGCCACCGCCACCAATGCCACCATTGCCACCACCGCTGCCATCACCAGGCATCTTGGACACTGCACCCATCAACGAAAAACTGAAATTGAAGCTGAAATAGTGGCATAGAAGACATCAATTGCAACTTGTGGCGTTGTTGCGTCAGCATCGAAAGCATAAACCCTAAATGCGAAATCACGTACACCAGCTGGCTACCAGGCACTCCCCCCCAAAAGAACATTCTACACTGCATGCTTACAATTGCATACTAACAGCACTTCTCACGGTTTGTTGCTATCGTTAATTCTGCGTCACTACAAGGCAAGTTAACTCAAGATGGTGGTCGAACCTACCTTAATTTTGGCAGGAAGGAGCTCCGATTGCGGTGATCGGTGCAGGAACTGGCCTAGGTGCCTCTTCCTTGTGAAGCCTTTCAGGGTTTGCGATTTCAAGTTTATTCTCTCCTGAGAAGGGGTTTTGGCATCTTCTTCGATGCTGCGGGGTAGGATGTGGTCCATCAACAGTAATCAGTTGTGGCGGAGCACCCCTTTGCGTGTACGTCCGTTGACGTGCGACCGCAACCTCCAAACACATAGAGGATGGGTTTTCAAAGTAGGGCCCTTTGTATCGGGGTAATTCGCACCGACCAAACCTCGGTAGCAATTTCAAATGCCCATTGCCAAAGTTGCGGGGGCTCCATGCACGGCTACTGAGAGGGTTTTCAAATGTGTTCAGACTAAATTCCGTGTTGCTAGGCAGTGTTTGCGCTCACTTAAGCTTCCGCATCTATAAGACCCATGCAATGACTTTTGAAGGCATCTCATCTCCCTACAGTCTTCACCCTTATTCTGTGCGGTTTACTTCACACGTTGCGTAGGGACTTGAGGTTCTGAGCGAGGAATTGCTTTGCTGCAGAATTACCCTGCAAGTGTTCCAGGAAGCATTTCTTACGATCCTCAATTCTGTCACGTGGGTTGAGCTCTACGGTTGTACGTAGGTGTTCCGTTTTAACTTGCATGCCGTCTTCACCTGTACTTGTACCACAAATCGCGTCAATGTCTTCCAAACTGCGAAGTCTCAGAGTCAACCACAAGACTAGGCCATCTCTCGAAATAAAGGTGCACGGACGGGACCGTAAGGACGTTTGTGGAGTACAAGGTGAACATGGGTTCTTGACAAGTCTTGTAGGGGGGCCATATTGGTAAACTCTGAGGAGCCATTTGCCGGAACCCTCATCGCAAGGCGAGGCGTTCCTGGCCGTTGGTGCCGAAGGCGACTACGAGGCCCTGACCTCTGTTTGCCAAAGGTTTTGCAAAACTATGTTCCCTTTTTGGGGGTTCTTTTTGGAGGTGAAAAGCATCCATTCAGCCTGCAGGATGGGAGGTTCGGGTTTGGAAGTTTTGGGGAGGTGCCGGATGTCATCTTCGTTCATTTTGGGTGTTATAAATAGTTCGCATAGCAGAAGCATCAAGGAGAGGCCTTTTTGACAATGCATGACACGCGAAGATTAATGGGAGTTGGGTTTCGGATTGGGGGAGGGTTCAGCAAGAGATCTTGTTTAAGATAAGGCCCTAGCTGTCCCGAATTGTAAGGCCTGTAAGAAAGTATGACCCAGGTAGGTTCCTTTTTGACCCGAGAAGTGCATCTTTGAATCTGTCGAGGCATTTTCACCCCAAAAAAAAAACAGGCAGTGGGGTTTTCCTCTTCGGCTGCTTATGTCCTTTAGGGATGGTGACGACAAAGATATCATGAGCTTCATCACAATGCTTCTACAAGAGTTATGCAACTATCGATGGCTACAAAGGTGGCGGCAGCAATAGCACTGGTGGCAAAAGTGATTCTATCAATACAGCGAGTATACTCATAACATCATACATCAGGAAGCCTTGTAGCAGTGGAGAGGAGCCTACCCCTCTGATCCCTCCGCACCCCAAACACTTGTGACTAGAAGCTGCTGAGCCCTTCTTACTCCTAACAAGCGTACACCCAAGCCCTTAAAGTCAGGTTTGGCCCTCCGAAGGAGGTCATGCCGAATATGCGCCTCGACAGGCCGCATGCGAGAGAGTTTTCGAGTGCAGGGTTTGGGCTCCAAGGTGGTTGCAGCGCATGTTAAAGGTAGGCTTTAGCGCAGAGAGGGCAGGCCTGCAGGTAGATGGTTTGGCCTCTAAGGTTAAGGATTGGAGCCTTTTGGGGTCGCGGTCTCTGTCTCTCTCTCTCTCTCTCGTTATTTTTGCTCCTGCATGTTGTCTCCGGGAATCCCCGGAATCAAACAATACCCTAAGTTCCCGAACCACCTAGGCGTAAGACGATTAAGGGTTGGGGGACTGATGGGATTGTAGAAATTACAAGCATTCTTGGTTAGGTGCAGGGAGGTCTGACCCTTGCCAAACTTGGTTTTTGCATGTTCCTACATGGTCCGAGTGCAGATATGGAAATCTCATTCCAGTCAAGGAGTTTTCTCCTAAATGGAGAGTATGAAAAGTGCTCCGGACTAGTCGTGGTCGTGGATTGCTACCTGGCTGCACACAGTGCACCTTATACGGATGACTGCTGGGTTCGCTGTCAAGCTATCACCACGCATGTGCGCAGCCCATTCTCAAAGCAGCAAATAGCTTTAAGACTGCATTTGGAGCATTCTGGAGCCCATCTTCAAAGCAGCAAATAGTGTTAAGATTGTATCAGGCATGGCTTTGCGGGAATGTTGCTAGGTTCCTTCGGAAGACTTGTGAGAGAGTGTAAACGGTTTTCTTCAGGAGGACCGCTAATATTCATCCTACCCTGTATGTGAGATCCCCCAAAGGGTTTAGATCGTCCTGCATGCAGGTCTGGAATACTTGCTTCAGGCCCACAAAGAAAGTGTTGTATGAGGTTCCAATCAAGCCTTTGGCTTGAATTCAAACAGTTTGGATGTAGAGAGTGTAGAGGTCAGGGTGTGGGATTCAAGGGCTTTCTCTTAGGGTCACACATTGGGGCCAGGTGTCTAGCCTAGCTCATACAAGGATGGCATGCATCGTGAATTTACCTAGACTTCCAAAATGCTTTGATGTCGAGTGGCCAATTACCTTGGTGCTGCAAAGTGGTATGCAGGATTGTTGGGAGAAGTTCGCAGGTCTTGGAGGGCCTTGCGCCAGGGGCGGAAAGAGATCTAAGGACGATGGGTAGCCATCTGTAGGGCCTGTGAATGTGCTAGTGGTAGCTTTGGGGTCGGAAGGCCGCACTAGAGTATCAACAAGGGTGCGTATCAACTTTGTCGGTCACAAGTCCTCTAGAAAACCTTGCAAGGAACCCTTTGAAGTATCCAAAATCTAAGTTTAAGCCAAGTCTGGCAAAAGCACTGTGAGGCAAAGGAGCCCTGTGGAAATAATTGCACACAAGGGTCGAGCTTCACAAAAAAGAGGCAGGTAGCATGAACGCACAGCGGTGGCGAGGTTTCAAATCACAATCTCAAGAGCTGGCAGGAAGGGAGCAACTCGCTTGAGTCAGAGCTCCTGCAGTACCTGATGATCAAGTATAGTGAGAAGGTGCTGGCCTCAGTAAATAGATTAAAACACTTTCTAGCCTTTCGAAGCCAGTTGATCATCTATGCATACAGCAACCCCCACCCCCCAAGAATAAAGCATCCTCTAAGATATCACTGTATTCGGCACTTGTTTTTTTTGGGATGGTGTGGGGGGTGGGAGGGGTAGCGGTTTGTGTAATACTTCCAGAAGTAAAGGGGACTTGCATGAGCAGCAATTAGCAATAGTTAACACGTAACATGAAACTGTCGTGGTAGGATCAGTCTTGGACTCGGTAAGTTTTGGCTTCGGGGTATCAGGATGGCTCTTGCCACAGAGCAACAATGTCCGCTTTGAACATGTCTACACCAGGGTGCCCATACTCAACAGTGAGAACCGTCCACGGAGGTGGATCCCTTTTGGACAGGTCTGGATTTTCCTGGTAGATACTAGGGCGGGCTGTAGAATCGCCTGAAAGAGATTGACTCCTCCACTTTCATCCCGAATCCCTTGACCCTAAATCCTATAGCTTCTAAGCCACGACCCTAAACTACACAACTCCAACTCCATGCACAGCATTTGTACAAACAGAACTTACAAGGCTCGCGTCAGCGTGGAGCGTGTTGCTGCGGGGAGAGGCGCAACTGATAGTTTAGGGAAATTCTGAGTTGAGGATTGAGGGTGGTTTAGGGCTTGGGGTTTAGGGATTGAAGGGTTTAGGTTCTAAGCGCGCTAGCGCTAGGCTTCAAGAAGCTTTTCTTTTTTCCGAACTTTTTGGCCGTTTTGGGTGCCTTGCTTGTGTTCAGGGTTGGGGTTTTGGGTTCCAGCTGGGCAGGTAAGGCAGGTTCTTCCGTACTACCATCGACGCTGTGCTAGTTTGTATGCAGTTTTCCTTAGCTCCTGCGGCCTTTGAACAATTGGCACGGAATCACAAAAGGTAATGTAAGGATTCCTGTTGTCTGAAAAGCGTGTGCTGGGTTCCATGACGTCTTGGGGAGGATTCATATTGTATTTGATTGCGCTGCTGTTCCAACAAGCGTAGACTTGAGGGTTTAGAGCTGCCCGTTGCTGATATAGCAATAGTTGGCGAAACCCGGCGACACTATCTGCTAGGTCAAGCAGCGTGACACAGTTGTTGACAAGTGCGGCTTCGATGTGCTCAGTTCTTCCAGCGTCCACTGACGAAAGGCCTGGGTTTCCAAACGAGGCCTTGTTCAAGCATGTTGTGCGCAGACAGCGGCCTGGGGCCAGCCACTTTTTGATGGGGATTTCCCCAAAGTCTTGAGCAGACAAGGTCATCGCGCTGCGAAAAAGCCTGAACAGTGGTCTGATGCAATTTCGGAGAATCGCCGTTCCAACGTTTCCCGCACCTACAAGAGTCTTGGGTACACAATCGAGGTTTCAGTCTCGATTCAGTTCTCAGACAACTGCTGCCCCAATGCGTTCACCACAAAGTCTACAAGATCAAACGGACTGCTGCGTCGGCAGCCTTCTTTCGACGACAGTGGCGAGTCTCTCTAAATAACCCCAGCACCATCCTTACCCCCTTTGTACCTGATCGTGCGACTGGTAGTTGACATGCTCTGCTATGCGCAAGGCTGGTAAGCATGAACAGGCAAGGTTGCTTCATGGACGAGATTTGGGTTCACGTCAACTCTCAAGTCTAAACGAACAGCAGAAGCCACATCCATCCAACAACAGGACCAGATGCCATTCGCTTGGGCCAACCCCTGGGTAGGAGGGTCATTCTTAGTTGAGGTTGGTCACAAGATGGTGGAAGACGGTTCCCGTTCAAGTGCAGATGTTCGCACATACCCCTCTCCACCCCTCCCAACAGGCACCCTTAATTCCTAAACCCTGAAGTTCATACACTCTAAAGATTCCCCGGCCTTAAGCTCTAGCTGAACTTCTAACACCTTCAAACTCTCAATCCTAAACTCGGGAGCGCGGAACACACCGGAGAAGAAGCCAGAATGGAGCCGAATGGGTTCTCTGGCAGCTTGCTTTTCCCCCTCATCATACACGTCCCAAAGATTGCGCAGCCTGTATTTGCAGAAGGCATTGCGAACATTTACGAGTTCCTGGCTTGGAAATTTCCGGAGAAGGCCTTGCGTTTTGCAACCCTAAGGCCTTCTTTGGGGGCTTGGGCTTGGCCTTGCTTTTGTTTTCGTGTTTCTACAAGTGAGGTTTCTACCCTCCCCATGATCAGTCTTATATCTCCAAAACTATCCAGAATTTCCAGAAACGGCCCTTACATGTTGAGAAGCCTTCTTTGGGGCAATCCAACGTGGCTTACAAAGTCAACCCATCAGGCCCAGCATCAAGCAAGGTAACTACTTCCTCCAGACAAGAAGCTAGGTCTTTCTTCTGACCTGAGAAGACTGCTACGTAACCGTTCATGAGTCACGATCACGCAGCCATGTTCGGGGCTCACCCTTCCTCAATGCATGTTCACTTCAATGTAGTCTCCCAAGGCTGTGAGATTCTACTTAGAGGGACTGGCCCACCAAATTGAAAAACTTCTAACTTGTCCCTGTCAAAGGGAGTGGGGCGGCAGCCAGGTCAACAAAGCAGTGCATCGCAGCTTTATTGGTCCCATCGAAGGGCCCAGGACGATGGATTTTTCGCGCTACGGTGTGGTCGTCAGGGCTTTGGGGAGTTGCTGTTTTCGGAATACTGGGCTGGAGACGAGAAAGTCCTACATTCCTGTAGATCAACTTTCATGCGCAGTGAAGACCCAGGACATGCCCATCTACGATCTGCGTACGGATGAACCCCACCCGAAACGGCTTCAAAACCTGAAGGACATTCGACCCTGCTGCCATCACGAAAGCGGCAACAGCCGGTCCTGATCCCAAGCCCAAGATGTGATCCAGGATGTGGTCTTACACTTTAGGGCAGCTTGTACTTCAAGGAAAAACAAACAGGCTTCAGTAAGGATTCAGCAAGCAGCCCCATGGGGCTTAGGGTGTCCCAACCAATGAGCGTACATTCCTGCGTGGTAGAATCCTTGTGAGCAGCCCAACTTATTGTGTGCTTCAGGGATTCCAGGGCAGGTAGGGAAATCGGGCCTCAATGTGGGATCATGACCTGCAATCGGAGCCTTGAGCTTGTTTGGGAAGCTTCACAGCAATCAGAAACCACTTCGGGGGCCGTACCAATGCAAGATGGAGAGTTCCTTTGCATGAGGACGTCAGTATTTGCTGTGGCTTGGATGCTGCGCAGCCATGTGAGCAACCGCCTTGATTATCGTGTAGGAGCCAAGGTCACGCAGAGATAGAAATATCCAGACATGAACAAAAATCCTGTAAAACGACAGACCCCCAAAGTTGTATATAAGGATCCTATCCACAAAGCAACAACGCAGGGCACCTAGGTGAGGGATTGGGCAAAACACTGCAAATCAATGGGTATAAACACCGTATTGTGCCAAAATCCTGTAAAACGATAGGCCGCCCCCAAGAAAGCGAGGCCCTTGATTTTTCTTAGCTGTTTACAAGGTAATGCATGCAGCTGCTCATGTGATGCCAGGCGCCAAATTATGTTCTGCCCACCAAGACAGCCTCAGTGCTAGCAACCATCTGACGGTTGGCGGGCATGTCTTGTTACGGTTGGCCTGGGCTTAGTTCACTTAGCGATCGTCCATCGCATCAAACCCGGATGTATCTGAAAAGGAGCCCAGACGACAACCACGTCATTCTGCTAAGTTACACAAGGTCCTTTGAAGGGTTGATGTGGTGAGGGAAGTCAGTGCAGGGCTAAGGAAACCCTAAGCGGATTCCATGGGGAAGGCATGCCCAAGAGAACCTCTCCATAGGGTTTCAAGGCTTCTGAACATTGAGAGATTTTCCAAAGAGATCTTCCCAAGATTTGAAGGGGTGAGCCCAAGGCATCTGCGACTTGAGCAAGCAGGCGGTCGATATCTGGGCTGGCGCCTACGGCAGTGAGGTTGGATAGGGGTGGGATCTTAGGGTGTTGAGAATGTACCAGGTAGTTATTTTTGATTTGCTCTGGGAGTCAAGGCCTAGCCTAAGGTAAAACATAAGAGTGGGGCTCCCCAAGCAAACATGCTACCCCAAAAGGAGCCGTGCAAACTGCTCTTTCAATGTTCATTTTGGGAGGCTAGTGTTTGCGATTTTCTTGGAGGCCTACGTGTACTTATAAGAGGGGCTGCAGGCCAGATGCCCAGAGCAATGAGGTTTTAATCACACGCATTGGGACAGAAGCTTACCTAGAACTACAAAAGAATCTCCAAGTGGCGTATCGAGCTGGAGGGGTGCGGGCCTTTTGACATGTCCTATGAGTGGGGTGATTTGTAGCTCAATTCCTGAATCATAGCTCCAATGTTGTTTCTTCAGGATGCCGAGGTCATAGGAGCAATAAGGGGAAAGCAGCATGGGCGGTTGGCAGTGTGTTTGTCCATGCATTGGAACGGGCAGGCCGGCGTCGTAGCTCTTACGTACATGCCCTTCGGCGGTGTGGGACCCGGACAGCAAAAAGGCGGAGGCTGCACGACTCGGAGTCTTGAGCGTAGGCAAAGGCGCAGTGGGCATAAACTCTTGATCCACGTGCCGGCCTCATGGCGCGATGTGCCACGAGAATCTCATTACTACAATAGATCTCTCAAGTTCCCAAGTTCAGGTTTCCCAGAAGCAGCCCCGTGACTTTATTTCCCGATCACTGATTCCTGTCTATACATTACTTCAGTGGCCGCAAATCGTGTCGCAGGTTTCAGTTCGAGGCTGCGGTTGCTTCAGAATTTGAAATGCAATGGAAAGTTCTCTGTGGGCTGCTGGAACCCCCTTTCAACCTTAAGTGTCCACCCTTGCCCTCGATTGTACTTTGAGACGGATGGATAGAAGTTCTTGATCGGACCCCCACTGAAGCACTCATCGCTACCTCTGAATTTCCATTGTAGTGAATACCCTTTCATGCGGTATTTACATGTCGGACTAGGCAATTGAGTGAAAGATTTCCAGTATTGCCAGTAGTGGTTTACCGAAACTCAAGGTCCGGTTCTGTGATCCATCTGTATTCTCGTACCGGCGCCACCTGGAGACCCCAGTTTCTTTTTGGAAGATACCTTGAGTTGCCTTTAGCTTTTGCATGTCATCGCAGGCTATGCATGCGACTCATGATTGCTGATAACTTCCATGCTCAAGTGACCTTCTTCAGCTGTCCTCCTTCTGTCTGGCATGCTTCAGGCTTGGAAGATGTCGTGAGAAGAACTGGCTGCTGTCAGGGTGGAGCAACTAGGAGCTGTGAGCGGCTTGAAGCTGAGTTTGTGCAGGCTGCACAGCCATCCTCTCTGTGCGTCTGTGCGCTTTGGTCTTGGTAGTTGCTCTCTGGCCTTCGAGTGTTTCTGCATACTGATGACCGATTGGAATATTGCGGCAGGCTGAACTCACACGTTGACATACACCTTCTGTAGCTTTCTCTGTCAAAAGAAGTGCAGCAGAATCGCCGGCTAGCGCTGACAACAACGGCAAGATGGTCGTGAGAACCCTGCTCTGATCATCGCTGCTCGGGAAAGACCACGAGGAGATAGCAGGCGAAGGAACAGATCTCATTGAGGCAGCCGTAAAATATTTTGGGTGCGGACAAAGACATGGAGGATAGAAACGGCGATGCGCAGGCTGTCGTCGAACACAGCCTTGATATCTTAAAGGACAATCCTGTCAACCAGCCTTGACAATTTAAAGCGGCCATTCAATCCACAAGCTCTTGGGCCATGGGCCCAACAACACCAAGTCGATGAGTTTCGGTACAAGTTCTTGGTTCTTGGAGGAGGTTCCAGGACCGGCAAAAGCACGTTTGCCAAGTCTCTTGGGTTTTTTCAGCTGTGGCTTCGCGCAGGGTTTCAACTTGACGTTGGCAAAGTGCAACGGGTTGCTGGCGCACGCTCTCGCGGCGGGTGAGGTCCTGTCTAGTCAGATACAACCGCTGATGTTGGTGCCTCGGCAACACGAGGGCTGTGCTTATCCCCAAAGCAAAAAAGCTTTCACACTTGCAGCGGAAAGTGGCCGAGGCCTAGTGCATCGGCCGTCATTCTTGCAGTTACTTCTGGCCACTTTGCAGTTGTTCAGGGAAGCCGGCGCCGACATGTCTCGGCCTCGCCGCGGAACAGCTTTGATGTAGGCGATCTGCTGTCGCCACCGGCAGCTGGCTCAGTTGGCGTTGGAAGCCCGCGCTCCGGCCCTGCGGCCTAGGGCGAATGCCGCGTGGCACTGGCGGCCAACTGCTCTACGAATGTTGCTTCCGGCACCTGATCACTCAGATCATCTTGTGGGGCCTTATCCGAACGTTGCCAGTCAGCAGGATCAGGCTTTCTTGCTGCACTCACCTCCAAGTTCTTGTGCCCTTGGTACTGCTAGGCTCTGCTCTGGCCGCCATGGGCAGACCACGAGACAGCTTGCCGCGCAGAGGAAGGCAAAAACAGGTAACGGAGTCTTGGGGTTTTGGCGAAAACTGCCCAGCCACGGGCTGAATCAATACCACTTTGCAAGTATGCTCTGCCAAGCACGAGAAAGCTATCACTCCTCTGGGGGTTTCCAGAGAAGTAGGTGCAACAATACAAGCAAGTGTTGGACGCTCGAATTGTTTTTATGGGGAGGCTTAGGGGCCCTCAGGGTGGAGAAAACAAACAGCTCCTCTTTCCCCACGCAGATTGAAGATAAAAGTAGGCAGTAAACGCCCATGGAAGACAGTGACTGACACAGGAGATTGCGTGAGCTGGATTCTAGGGCTCATGGGTTTTCAGCAAATGTGTTCGACTTTGTTGGGATGGAGCTCTGCTTGTCCTAGCGGCTTTATTGGATTTTCCGGGATTCGGGGTATAGATCTGATAGCGAGGCAATTGGGAAAACGCAAGCTTAGCTCAACTGAACAAGCTTGAACGCCGCGGCTGACATGCAAGCTTCCTCAGATAAATGGTCCTTGTTTTGCAACACAGGAGGGCTGGGGGGGTGACACCGTGCAGAAGATGGTTGGTGGTTCACGGATTCATAGTGTTACAGGGGTTGGCCAGGATGTTTTTGAAGAGCACTGGCGTTTGTGATATTATCTGTTGTAAGCTACGGTTTCTACGCGGATTATAACTGCTTTTGTTGTGGGTAATGTTTTGTGTGCTTGGCAAGACCTGCATGTAATCCTCAGTGCCAGCCTTCTCGTAACCCCAATCACCCTTCCTGCATTCCCTGCCATCAAAACGTGACAATACAGACATTCAACAGGGTCCTAAGATTTCATAAGTACCCACTTGAGCTTTAATTTTCTGAAGTCCCGAGCTCGCTCCCGAACCTCCTGCAGTTTGCTGTTGAAATATCCAAATTCCAAAGCACCCGAAGGACGACGCGCCTTGAAAGCCAACGACTACAAACGAAAAAACAACGCCTCTAGATGCAGTTTACTCGGCCAAAGTTTGGGTTTTGCGGGTTTAGGAATGTGTTGGTTGAGTGAGTCGGTGAAGCCAGTGATGCTTAGGACTCTACCTCACTGGAGGAGTCACCTCCAAGATGAAGGCTGGGGTTCCTCCGGTTGGGGCATGCTGTGACAACTTACCATAACTGTAGTATTTTGCACTTCCATGGCTTTTTTGTTCATGGGCACAGTGGCTGCTGACGAATCAGAGGGGTCAGGGCTTGAGGATCTAAGGTTTAGGCTGGGAATCATGAAGTCAACCAGGTTGTGCTTGAGGAAGGCTTCTTGTATGCTCTTCGGACGGGCCATGGCAATTGAAGACCCCAATATAACCAGCATATAGTCTCCCTGGGTTCACGAAAAGGCTCCCTAAACACAGGGTGTTTTGTTCCTGTGCCTTCAGACAAACATGTCGAGGGGGGAAGTAACTTCAAGCACTTGCAGCTGTCCTAAGTCCTAAATTTTGACTGGCGCCTGTCCCATTTACGAATTCCTGGGTTCTAGGGTAGCCAAAAAGGAGATGGAAACTGCTGTGTGGCGTAATAGCTTCCATTCGCTGCTTGTTATTCATTGCATAGAAACCCATCGAACCTACTGTATTACAGGCGGGTCTTCGATTCGGCTTTCGGGATTTTGGTGAAGTCAACGTGCGAGCTCTCATCAGTAGGGGTTGCGTAAATCTTGCCTTGTCTTTGTACACGAAAGCTTCCACAAGTAGCGTCATCCTTCTTGCAAGCCTTTCCAACGCCAAGCCACTGATTAGGGCACCCTTTCAAAAGGATTTTTCATGTCTGAGGAGCCCGCACACGGGCTGTACAACGCACCTTGTATGGTCAGGCATCCTCTGGCACGCGGAATCTCATATTCGGGCATTGCCTTTCGGATCCCCCAATTTCTCGAATCCCATGAGACAACAAAGACATCAAACTCTGACCCAGAGGACTGGCTCAGCGGCAAAACCACTGGGCACAGCTCATTTTTGGAGGCAACCTTCTTGAACTTAGAGTATGCTGGCGTTTTACGACGTTTGGGTCCAGGATTTGAAGTTTGCTTGTGAGTATTTGCAGGCGTTGAAGGCCAAAGGCTTGCTGGAGGTGATCAGGGAAGTGACCCTTTTTATACGAAACACTGCTTCGGCTACAACTCGTACTATCGCCTGTGGTGGTATAGCGTAGTAGCACTTTTTGAACCCATGATTTATTTGGCGTGTTGGCGTTGGCTCTTATCCTTATGTCGTGAGAGGTCCAAGGATGCCAGGAAGCAATGAAGTATGGTATCAATTTACCCTTGGTGTACGAGGGCAACTCCCAACAAGGATACATGGCCATGTCCTTAGTATTCGGCAACCGCAGGGACCAGCTAGACCTTGTGTTTTGAGCCATGTTTGATGTGCGGAGGTGAAGAGAACCTAGAGGTCAAACAGCGCCGAATTAGTGAATCCAGGATGCACTTGTGAGACTGCAAGTATGCGAAACCTGTGAAAAGAGCCAGTGCCTGAAATCTATGAGTTGCGCACCCATGAACCTTCAGTTCCGGCGTTTCCGTTGTTGGCTCGCAGCCTTCTGGCCGGTTTTGTGCCACTTTAGTAACCTACTTATTCCAGGAGCATGAATGTTCAGTGTTTGATGTTAGGACTGAGAAAACACAACATGCCTGTGATGGAGCGCCTCCCCGCTTACAGCAAGCAATTCTGCAAAATGGCTGCAGCATGTCCGATGACGGTGAACTGGATTTGGCTGGAAAACAGGTTGAGATTAGTATCGTTGTTGCGCGGCAAGCGGAAACGTTGCGTGTCGGAGGTGCAGAAAATCTTGCAACGTCCGCGAGACCCAAATCTCCCAAGCCAGGGTGGCATAATTTATGCCACCAAAAAAGTTTGCTAGCCGGTCTAAAAAGCTGTGTTTCGTGCGGTGAGTTGTTATTGCAAGCCCACCGAGGCGCAAAATTGACAGACGCGTACAACATCAGTTCACTTTCCTACAACGCAGGTCTCGGACTCTTAGAACCACTTGAGAAATCTGCAGGCGTACGTCTTGAAAAGATGGAGGTGTAGAAAGACCTCTTTGTAGTCAGGAGGGCGAGTGACTTGGTGTAGAACTCTTGTCTGTGCATTGTGTGCGCAAAAGAGGATTGCCTGACCCATCGGAAGTTGTGCAGCAGCTGCAAAAGGCAAGAAGTGCCTCAGCTCGGGTCATTCACGCGGTCATGCTGGCCAATATGTGGAGGAGTGTGAGTGGCTCCGTAGTACAGTGTGTTCCGTGGCGGCTATTCACGTGACTGTGCCGGCCCCTGTAGCCGGTTTCTGATCCACTCCAGCTTGGAGCTCATTTTGTGCAGATCCTCACATGCCCCAAAATGATGACCGAGAATGACCGCGTTGTGATGGCAACAACGAGAAGCATCGGAGCCCCGTCTGAAAGGAGATGTCTCCTCGAACTTCATTGTTTAGTATGGCGTGCAACTGTTTGAGTCCGTGCAGATTCGTTGTTAAGCGCTTCTGCCATTTGCGCCCATAGTGTCAACATACTGCAAAACATTGTACGGCAAGCGTCAAATCCCAGCATTCAAGCCTCAATTTCGCCCGCCGTGTAGTGTAGAGGTGTCGGCCATTTCGATAAAGGGTTACGCACGGAGGTACAAGGATAACACGCGAATCGTAATGAAGCTCACGGAACCCAATCCGGAACTTTTGTTCCAATTCCGCTTCCATAGTCCGTTTAGATTTCTGCATCCCAGGCCGCAACCGGGGATCCTAAAAAGCTTCAGCCATGGATGTTGAGCCCTAAGCCATACAGCTTCAGCCTGAGATTTTCAGGCCTTTCTGGACAAGGGCCGCGTTACGCCACAAGCCTAGAGAAAGGGGAGGATGGTGGTATCTGCTGGGATTTGCTTGTGTTTTCAAACAGGGCAGGACCCCTCTGTGTGAGCCACGCAGGCTCCGTTAAGTCGGGAGTTGCTGCTCCGGTAACTTAGAAAGCTGATGAGTTTTCCTCAAAATCAGGCTTCCCCATATCATATGTCCCCGAAGTAGTCCATCAGTTCTGACAATAGCAACTCCCGAAGAAGCGGGCTTTATGATTTCATGCAACCCACGCATAGAAGAACAAACGCTCATAGGTTGACACGCAGAGAACGGTATAGGCTGGTAAGTCAGGGTGTAGTCAGGCGACGTTTACGCGACTGGAGCAATGGGCCTTTATGCCACCTTCCGGCAGAGCCCCACATGTTCGTGGTTGAAAGAACCTTTAACTCCACCGCCTTGTTCTTTATACTGCGGTCCTGTGCCGTGTTCTACTTAGTTTTGCTCTGCCCTACTGTCTTGCTCTTCCTGCCATCGATGGCGTTTACAAGTCCAGCTGTGGCAGAGGCCAGCAGCAATAAATTGAGACCGTCCTTGTTGAGCTACGCCGCGTTTCCCGGCACAAGATGCCCGTACAAGCTTGATAGTACTTAGAATTCTACTTCAGGTCAGTACGCTGGACTTGAAACGTTTGATTCAGCGAAAAGGCATCTTCTCTTGGCACTGAAGGCCGATGCTGATGCGCGTGCCGGTCTTTGTGGTCACTGGCGAGGAGCGTGAACACTTCTGGGTTGTAGAACCTAGTTTTGGTTGTTCGGGAAGGACTTTTGGGGAAGCAGTCTGCGTCAGCTAGCTTTCCTTTCAGGGCTTGTGTGGCTAGCTGGAAAGTGTTGAATATTTAGGGTATAGTATAGATAGCCCTTAAGATCTCTTTGTGGAATGGTGGGGCGTAAGCCATCTATGAAGTGCCTTGTTTTCCAACACTTCACAATGAATATTCTATAGAGACTTGGAATATCAGTTGCAACACATACCCCAAACACGGCACTTCATTTGGGGCTTTTCATAATTGACATGCATGAACAACAGCCCCTGCCCCCTTAATTCACAGAGGAGTACATGCACACCTGCAGAGCTGCCCGGTTACTCCGGTGCCACCTGCAAAAACCAAAGTACACGGGGTTGAACATGGCAGATTAGGACTACGACTTTTGTTTGAAGACGCTGCAACTGTACTACTCATCCTTTACTGTAGCGTCCCGCGCAGGCCAAAGGTGCTTCACAAGCGCGTCACACTGGCAACTCCCAAGTGTACCACGTCTTTTGGATGTCATATCCTGTCGTGTGGCATGTCTCTCCAGGGCGTGCACACTGTATTTCCTCAGTTTCTCTTCTTTGCTGGTCTTGTGGCCTGCAAAGTCGTCAACACCGTTTCCAGCGCTGTGTTTGGTCGGAAGCTGACATGAAACCTCCTTTTGGCGTGACGGGGAGTATTTTAACTCCAGTAACGTTCTGGAGGCTTCTGTGGCAAGACCACGTCGTAGATGCACATTTCGGACCAACTTCTGTAGCGAAATCGCAGAAATTCCACGCAATACAGTTACAAGCAGTTCCAATGCTTCTCAAAGCTTCTGTAGCGCACTCCCATCCTAGATGCCATAGTTGTCTCGGGCTCCGCTGTGAAGTGTCATGGGGTGCGCAGCCTGTCACTTGCGAAATAAACTGGGTTTTCGCGTAGTACATCTTCCTTGTGACTACATGGGGATTTGGGCCTGCAGACATGGATGGATACAATGCTTCCAGAGCTGCGGCCTGCCTCTCTCACACAGCTTGTTGGTGTTGGTAACATTGCAACACAAGACGTGGTAAGGGCGTTGACATGCGGGTTTGAAGCCTCAGGGGTGCCTTCTGCCTATGCGAAGTCGTTTTTGCCCACGCGGGGTGCCTTAGAGCGCTCTCTTGCAATTATCTCGCATGTTCTTGCATGTGTTGGCAAGTTCTTGCATGTTGTTGCTTGTTCTGACGGGCTCTTCCTGCACCGGCATCCCGGGTCTTACTCTACATAGCTCCACCTATTCTTGGACCGACTTGAAGCTTATATCGCGCCGGACTTCAAAGAGCTTACGATAGGTTATGAAGTCAAATAATCTGTGAAGGACCTTGAATGACTTTGATTATCCTTATCTCTTCTCAACTCTATAATGTTCAATCTGATTGGAACAACACACCTGGCTGGACCTAGCTACGCTTATCAACACTTCAAACAGGCACCCGGCACCAGCGTGACAGCGTCTGTAGATGTCTGTGTGGGGCAATAGACGCACTAACACTCCATGAAATGGGTGATTCAACGCACCTAACAAGCCCTAGCCCTAGCTTTCTCTATGAGATGATTTACTGAAGCTTTGCTAGGCTGAATTCGCAAGGCGCCAGGTGCTGGAATGCAAAGGTCTTATGCAAAAACTCGATTCACAGTGTAGATGAATCCGGACCTCGCACCATAAGCAGGCTCAATTTGCTGCAGGACATGGGCGAGCGAGGCGCGATGCTGAAAGCCACGCGGATCTACCTTGAGCAGACGAGGAACAGGCGCGAAGTAGATCGCAGCGATTTGGCGAGCGCATCACAACTTTGTAGGTTGCACGGGGATCTCCCGGTTGTTAGCTGTGTAACAATCGCGGATGGGATATTTCGACATTGAAGGCAGAGGGAGCGCGGGATTACAGTCCCAGAATATCCTAGAACATGTGTCTGGAGGACCCTTATGCCTTTGGAACACATTCTTATACAACATCCCAACAAGGGCACCTAGGTCTGAAGCTCTGCTTCTGGGACATGAGTCGAGCAGACATTCCACCACGGCTGGTTTTTTCATAGCTCACTGAACCTCAAGCCCGCATCCAACGCGATAGCACTCAGCAACGGAGGTAGGTTTCTCAAACATTGTGGTCCTTTTGGGGAGTTGCATGCACAACGAGAACCCTCATGTCTTAGCATGTTGGGGCTTATGCGCGGAGCCCTGTTGCAAAAGACACCATGGCCAAAGCTCAGACCTTAAGGTTCAACGGCAGTCAGCAGCAGCCAGGCGCATGTCCCACGCATCGAAGTCACGAGCAGCACCGGAGTTCATCGTGAAGCCGCCTTGGACTGAGTGTAACAATTCAGTGTCTTTTGTTGGGCTGCTTCCATGAAGGTATGCAATCGTTGGACCTTACTTCATTTGTAGCCGATTGCAACAGGAATTCCCAGTCAGTTGGTCACCCCTGCACCCTTTAAAGCCGTAAATCGCAGATGTTCAACACAGAGAGTTTCTTCTCATCCAAGAAAGGGTTCTTAGCATCGTCTCAGCTGTCTTTTTTGCGCATCGCCATGAGACCTCAGTCCTGAAATTCATAGCCACCTGGGTAGGTGTAAACATGCTTTGCCTTGTTTATGCCAGACAATCCAGACGAAACCAGAGGAGCCGCGTTTTTCTTCGAGTGAACTCTCGCAACTGGCAACTGAGAGTGAGAGAAAAAGAGAAGAAGGGAGAGAAAGAGCGAGAGAAGAGAGAGCGCGAGAGGCAGACAGACAGATTTCCGTTATTGCTGGACAAGAAGATACGAACTCTTCCGTCAAGCGTTACACATCGTAGTACTCCTCAGCATGAGCGCCCACACCCGCTACAAGATGCAAGAGATGGAAGCCCTCAAGAAGTGTCTCCCCGCAGTGTAAGGTCTAAAACAAGGCATACCTCAAAGAGCCCAAGTAGCTCGGATCAAGTAGGACAGCTGAGTAGGAACACTTGCTTTTCATGCCGAGGGCTAAGTTGCAGCTCGTTGCGTATTCGAAGTATCTACAAGCCTGGCTCTACATGGGTGACTCGAAGGCCGATATTCAAGCCAGCTATAGACTAGACCTGGTTTGCAAGGTCGCAGTCGCATAATCTCTGAACCCCCAATCAGAGTCCAACTTGCACTTCTGACACAGGAACCCCAGCTGTTGCGATGCACAGCTTGCATTAGCACAGCAAAGCCAATACTGCACAGGAATCCCATATCCGTGGTCGCGCCAGGCGGGGCTCAATGGATGATGCGTACCCAAAGAATTTCTAGGGCGTGGGGTTAGGGTTTGGGATAGTTCAGGGCACAGGGAAGACTACACCACCTGGGGAATGGTCAGGTAACATATCCGTTCGAATGCAGGGGAGGGGACAGGCTACGTCTTGACCGAGCTGTGGTGAAAATTGGCGGTAGGAAGGCCGACTGCGCTCGGCGAACTGCAGATCCGGTGATTGCAGCAAGCACTTGAGTACTGCTGGAGCTGAGAACAAATCAGGCATGGACTCGAAAGGTGTCAAGGTTACTTTCTTGATCCTTGCCTAGATTAGTTCTTGGATCATTGCTTCCAGAGACTGTTTGAAGGATGGCAACGAATCTCAGACCACCTGGCCAGAAGGTCTTCAGACCAACAAAAAACTCAACCTCAGGCCTTGCACCTCGGCTTACCTTGCAAGGAACATCACAGACAGCGCTGACAGAGATCCACGAACAAGAGGTGCAAGCAGAATAGAGGCCAGAGTTGAGCTTCGGGGTTTGAGAGTCAGTGTTTGGAGTTTAGGGCGCAGGTATATCGTGTCCACTAGAGGCTTGCAACGTGAGTGTTCAGGTTCAGGTGTAGTTTAGGGATGAATCATACAGCTCCCGCATGGGTCCATCTCGAAAGGAGTTCCCCTTGTGCACGCCAAGATGGTGGAATCCGTGTTTTAAAAGACACCTTTGTCACAATAACAGCGTCTTCTCACTTTCTGCAAGAAGTACAGCTCTGGTGCATCTTCTAGGTCCTGTCTCTTCTTGCTTCAAAACGAATCTCCGTGTCGTCAGGGTGGCTAAGATTTGAGTGCAGAATACGTTTTGTCGAACCAGCAGGCCTCCGCTTAAGCCTTGTAATAGGCTTACAACCTTGCAAATTCTTAACAGCATTCCCGCCCTCCACGCAGACATCGCAGAGGCGCGCTGCGCAAGTCCTTTGTCCTTCCTTTGCACAGCTAACCTTCGAAGATCCCTATTCAAATTCCTAGCTGAAGACGTCTACAGCACTCCAGGCGCGGGGAGAAGCTGAAGAGCTCAGACCCAGAGCCGCGGTGGCTGTTTGCCGCCATGACACACATCCACAGTAGAAGCTGCTCCCGGGCTACAGAAACATCTCGACTAATCCCATTCCGTCATGTGTTACTGAGGCTTATTAAGATCCATACTCAGGGCTCACGGGGTGAGAGGCTATGCAGAAAGGGGCTATGGTACGTCCCGCTTGTACTTGGAGTCTTTCGTGTCTCAGCCTTCCCCAGATCATGCTTCGGGCGGCCTGTCCTTCCTGCTAGACATTTTTGGTGCAGAAACTGAGGTTTTGAGCCTTTGGTTTGCCTCCTGGATCCTTGGCAGTCTTTACAAGATTCGTTGAACGGACTATCCTGGTTTAAAGTTCTTTGGCTCAGACATGCCAGGGATTAGAGTTCAAGCTTAAAGGCTTCGACTTACGAGCCAGCATCTATTCTTCCATGGGACTTTCCATTTCAAAAAAGTTCAGGGAAGGCGCCAAAGAAGCCTTAATTATGCAAACCCAGCCCTACATCCAGCGCAGAATTCGGATGAGACTGTGCCAACTCCGTAAATGGAAGCGAGGCAGGTTTCAGCGTAGCGTGGCCATGAGATGCCCCAGTGCCAGGTCTGTAGCAGCCGATGGCTTTTGGAGACAATGTGCTTGAAGCGTAGCTGTGAGGTCGATAGAGGCAGGCTAGGCAATGGACCTACATCTGTCGACCTGCAAGAGGGAATCTCCCAAGAACCCACTGCAATATTGAGCCCTGCACCTTCCGTCATTCCCTCTTCTTATGGCTCCCCCAAAGAGATATGTTTTAATCACCAGTGCTCCAAGCGAACACTTCATGCACTCACCAAAGACTGAAAGCCCTAGGAATCCCGCAAGTACTACATCAGCATTTTGGGGTTTTCCAGACTTTGGCGGCAGGGGAGCATCCTTGGCAACCCCTAGCCCAGGTACCAGTAGTCCCGAAGTGGACAGGTGCCAGCTTAAGGCCAACTAGACTTATGACGATGGAAGCTTAGTATCAAAAAAAGGTATTGCTCGCCATGCGTGACATTTCATGGCACTTGCATGGCAGTGTGGCGCTCTGGAGTACAGTGATGGCATATAGCACGTCCAGACTTTCAACATTTACACGTTGAAGTCTCATGTTTCCGAGGACGCTTGCAATGGGCATTTGACAAAGTCTTGAAGTTGTGTGTCGCACAAATGCGACATAGTTCCTGCCGCTTTTTGGGGATTCACCATCATCAACGTGCAAGCTCGGAGCACTTCTGTTTCGGTACAGCTGATGGAAACCATCCTGACAGCACCGACCTTTTCAAAATTAATGCGCCCATGCAGTCCTTCAAAGGGATCCCAGCACCTGGAAGTGTTTTTGAGGTTTAAGGCTATCCCTGTCCCCAGAACCTCCGTATGGTTCTGCGAGTTTGTTTCCAACAATGGCACATTTCCAACAGCTCGAAAAGCAACAATTTTCCGCGGCTGTTTGCAGGTCAAAAGGCTCGGGAGTGAACGGTTTTAGGCTCAGGGTTCCCAGACCATGGACATTGGTTGCTTCAAGGGTTTGGAGTATCTGTCTTCCAGGCTGACCATTTTCCTTTCAATTCAGCAGACAGCACTGGCAACCATCATATGGCAAATATCAAAGACTCCTCCTGATATTGTCTCCACAGAGCTCAGAGGTCCAAAGCGACCTCGCCCTCTGAGCGTGCCATGGCCGAGCTATTGGCGCCTTCAGTGGATGACGAGCAGCCAAACCCCGAGCTTAGGCCTCAGAATTCTCCTGATAAGTACATTTCGGGTTTAGGGTTTTGAGGCGGGCTGGAAGTCTTTGAGGGCTGCTGGACTTCCTTGGGTTGCGGGTACGTTGGCCGAGGATCCAGGGATTCAAAGATTCAGCGGTTGCTGGCTTCGGGGGATTCAATGAGATTTACAAAATTTGGGGTGAGGGTTACATTCCTCCTTCAAGTAGATAGGGTAAAGTGCGTAGGGTTGATGTACTGTGGACTTCATAGTTCGTAGGTTCTATCTCCTCACACCTCCATGTAGCTAGTATACGAAGATCTGATTTCTGCAGGGACTCCAAGCCCGGAGGGGAATCAGAGAGTGATGGGTTTAGGATTTTTGCCACGGCTCAAGTAAGGATGTCTCAATGGACCTTCTTATCTCTGCCGTGATCCTCAAAGAGACAGACCATCCTTGCCTGAGCCTCCTTCAGACTGAAATCCTAAACCCAACATCTTGAAGACACAAATCCCGCATCCTGAACTCCCAAGACCCTCTAAGCCCTACAGACTATGCCTTTTGTTGGTGTCGAGTGAAGGCATAACGACTGTGATATACTCCCTACAAAAACCCGCGAACCCATCTGAACTGACTAAGAGTAACATTTGGAGCTCCTCGTAAGGTCAAGCCAGGTTAGGCTCAACTTGCTCGAGGTTCCGCCTCTGATGCTTGGCAGATGGCTGTTTGTAGCGGGACTTCAGGGAAGGTTTGCTTTTTGGGCCTTTTGAGCCTTTTTTGTCCTTTTGCCAGCAAATGGGTCCTCTGCAAGTAGCACACAGCATTTTTGACATCAATGAGAGTTCCACTTACTTGGCAACATGGATCCTCAGCCCCAAGTGCTGAGCCCCAACATCTGCTGTGCCAAGGAACTTGCCGCAAAATTTGCTGAATTTCATGGAGCGGGATGAGATGCCTCTTTGATGATTTGGCTCAGGATTCAGGATTGGGTTTAGAACCACCTGCCTTGCTTAGAGAGCTTCTTCAGGCATGACAGCTTTGGTACAGAGCCAAGGGGCATCTAGCACCTTCGCGTTGCGTCTCAGCAGCTATGGTTTCAGAGCTGTAAGGTGCCGGATAAGGCCCAACCCTCAGAAAAAGGACATTACGACCATCATGTGGCGGTTATAGGATGTTTCGTACCATCAACCTTTCTTAGTTCCCGGAGACCAAGCGAGTTACTGTTTTGGAGGTGAGGTAAGGAAGGTCGACCTGTACAAGCTGCAGGATGTAGCACGGGTCTTCGTAATTTTCAGTCTCATTAGCAGTTATTAGCATCGGGATTGCTAGTGCTCTTGTTTCATCGCATCATTTTTGGCAAGGTCTGGCGTCGTGTCCAGGCTTATCCTTAGAGCCTTGGGAAGCGGACATTTCTTAAACTTGACGGGTACCACGTTCCCATCCAAATCCTGTGCACCCCCCAACAGACCGTAGCTTGAGAGACCAAGCTCATTTGAAGACATGAGTTTTTTCTAAACATATTCAGAAGACCCTTCTGCCCTTTCAGCCCAGGAAGGAGCCAACAAAGCCTGCGGCCCCATGGCAGCACAAAGAATGTAGGTTCCTGAAATTGGCTGCTTTGTGAAGGCCTCACCCTGGCTGCAGGGAGGCTGTACTCGGATCTATAAACCCCTGAACTTCTCAGCTGAAATGGGTTCAAGACTCTTGGATACTGTGGCTCTGATCCCAGTCCTAAACAAGGTGCAGCTTTGGAAGCTTTATTCACTTGTCAGGGCGGCCATGACTTCGAGTTTCTTATAGAAAGGGAACCGGCCAAAGCAACGGCTATCTTACGCAGGTGCTCTGCGATTCCTGCCTAGCTCACTCAGATCGATATGTGGGCGAGACAAAAGGTATGTGGTCAAAAATGATTCCAGCAATTCTCGCCGGCCTTCAAGCCTGAATTGAAGCTGTTAACTTTGTTCAATGCTCTGACGCCTGACGTTCACTCTGGTCGGAAGACTTGCTGGATGCAGGACCTGCTGATTCCCCTCACGCCGCTCAACGAGGCACCAGCAATACTTGCTGGTATACCGATGTGATTCATGCATCAACGCTGAGGATTTTATCGAAGGTTACCGTGATGCAGCTTAGGGCTTGGAAACGTGAAAAGCTGTCTCTAACGTTCTACCTAAGAAGCCATTGAGTGAAAAATGGAACGAGAAGCGTTGTCTAAAATGGTTGACCAGCCTGAGGATCATAGCATATCAGCTTCATTCGAAAGAACATAGCTTCACAAATTGGTTTAGGCCTTTACACTTCCTAGCTGTTCAACTGTTCGGAGGTCATCCTTAGATATCTGCGTCAGTATGGATATCGGCTTTCTGTCTACAGAATATTAGGAAGCTGGCAGACATAAGTCAATTTCTCATGACCTCGCAAAGATTCAAAACTTACAGGGGCTCTTGACAAAAGGTGTCCCCCTTTACGCCGTCAGAATGATGTCCTTTTCCTCTGCTCACAACCACCCGGTCCTCTTAACTTCTCAAGCTCCATGAGGCGCAACGCCTTTGAAGGTTAAGGTTCCCCCGCACAAGCTGGGCACTAGCAAAACAGCTGCAAATTCACCATCACTTTCCTGTGTTGTGTATACTTGCTGCCACAACCTGAGGGAAAGGCAAGGTCCAGCCTTAGCCAGGAGTCCGTTGATGTCTAAACCATAAGTTCTATGGCCTACAGTCCTACAGCGCATAAACTTTGAGAACACAGAGCTCTAAATCGTCAGCCCTGAATCCGGAATCCTACTTGAGGAGCACGCTGTGGAAGCAGCGCAAACTGAGCGCGCAGGTCATGGGCGCTGCAACAAGAGGCCTGTCGAGCTTTGGCGTGTGAGATTTATGATTTGGGTTATATGAGCTAAGGCTTGGGCCTGACCTCGAAGCTCAAACCGAAGGAGTTGTTAAGGGTGCAGTAGACTTAGAGACACTCCGATATGTTTGAGATTCGTGCGTGCTGTAGAGAGGGTTGCATCCAAAAACATGCGTTCAACGGTCGGTCAGGATGACGCTGAAGACATTCACAGGTACGTCGCAATGCCTCCGAACAGAGCAGCCTCCCCTCAACCGCAGGTTCCCTTCATCGCCCGTTCTACAGGTGTCCTTCGAGGAGGGTCTACTCGGTTGAGTGCATGTTGGGGTTTCTCCACGTCCTCAAGACGGGCCCCATTCCCGTTCCATGTGAGTCCGGTGGAGCTCACCATCTGGGCTTCTTCAACATTGCAGCTACAACTCACAAACTCAAGGCTGTCAGTAGGACGTTATCAGTAACCATTGTAACCACTGAAACACTAAATACGAACAAGTCACGCGAATATTCACCAATAATTCAATATTTCAACATTTGGTGACTTGTTTTCAAAAATCTGGGGTTTCTTGCGCAGGGAGCCACCGCATTTGGGGAAGCATTCCTCACCTCAGAACGGGAACCTACACTCCTTAATTTCCTTCAAATAAATGCAATCCTAAGCAGGGGTTATGGCAATGCGTGTGCTGTCACTTGATTGGCTTGGCAACGACGAATAGAAACAAACATCAGAAGCAAAAACATGTTCCAAATTCCCAAATCGAAAACTCCAAGCCAAACAAGCTGCAAACTGACTCAGGCTAGCTTTCTGCGATTGGCTCCTCAGCTCTCCTATATCAAGCGCAGCTAGAGGTATTTGCCTACGGCCATTGCAATTCGAATGCGTAAGCAGGAAGGCCAAAGCCCTCCATCTGGCACTTTATCTGTAGAGGGCCTAGATGATTAGCGTGTTCACGTCGCCCTGCATGAGCTGTACCTCCTTCGCCAACCAGCCTGAGAATACATAGCCTATCAAGTCCACTGTCACGCCCTAAACCCCCAAAACTCACCTGTAAAGCGCCGAGCCTTCACCTGTGGGTCAGCATTGCTTGCAGGTTCCGGCCCTTTCTGCAGAAGCCTGCTCGCTCCGCGAGGCAACCTAGAGTTTAGGGCAGGGCACTGGATTTAGTTGATTTAGGTGTAGGGTTAAAGGTTCGGGGCTCAAGTTTCAGGAGGGTTTCAGCCACATGGTTCTGGGCTCAGGAAGGAGAAGGTGCTAACTGTTGTCGTCTTAACGTACGGCCCATCACGGCGGAATCATGAAGTCACCCTTCATGCGAGATTGTACTATATGGAAGTGCGCCTTCATGAAATCATTTTTCAAGGTTTGGCATCGCCTTTGCAAACTAGGGTCTTGTTTCCGGTTCAGGTGCTAAAATCATAGTATCCAGAGAGAATACCTGCCCATGACTTTGTGAAGCAATTCGGATCTTTTTGCAAAACATATGGGCTAAGTTTGTTGCCTGAGATACAAGACAGCAACTCGGTCGCAAGAAGCTCCCACTTAAGGAACCACTTTGGCATCGAGTGATTTCTGAAAAAATGAGAGCCATTAAGGCTCCTTTGGGCCTTCGAAGAGCTTTGAAGAAGGGTTTACGAAGTTTACGCCGAGACGAGAGGCTCTTTTTAAGGTTCAGGGCCCGACCAGGTCACAGGCCGTCGCAAGATTATTTGAAGCACAGAGTCTCTGAACGGTCCCGCATGCGCTACATGTGCATATCCTGTGTCTTCTAACATCACAGCTGACATGGTGTGGAATTGGTCATGGCAAACATGGAGCAGCCTAGCCTTGGAAGCACGCCTTGTAAATGAGAACGCATCGGGCAGTTGCTTCGCAAACGGAGTCAGCCAAGAGTTCTTGTCACTTCGTACAGCTTTGGATGTCTTGCGCGGGACTCGGCCCCAACCGCGAACCCCAGCAATGAAATTGTGGACGTGAGCCTGCTATTGGAGGTCGTAACGATATGGCGTACTCAGCTAGATTCAGCTCATCCTTCTTATAACCGCCGCAGCGCTACTACTGAACTTCTAAGTATGGGGCAAGGGTTGGCACCTAAAGTTCTAAAGTTGCCTGCAGATCCCACCCACGGAATGAGTTCGTCGTGCTCTAGGGTGCCGGGCTGAGTCCATGACAATGTGTCGCTGAATCGCTACTGCTGAGCCCATTCAGCAGCTTTGCATGCCCATGCTAAGAAGCCTCAAGCCCCGCTCTCCTCCTCTACACATTCTCTACGCGCTTACCATTGACCGTGCCTAGCAACAGTCTCTCGCCCTGAAGTCGGCACCTCTCCCTGGGAACCTATTTTCCCATGTAATTTTAGACGCAAATGTCTACTCCCCAACTGCCCCTATGAATTCCTAACGTGTTCCCACCCTAGACCATGATGGGAGTGTACATACGGACGATTCAGGAATAATATGCGGCTTCACTCTAGCTGAAAGATTCCCAGCTCGCAGGAACAGCGTGGATCTCAAATCGGCGAGGATGGCGCAGAACCAACGCCAAAGAGACTCGGCTGAAAGCTCACCGTCAGGAGGATTCTAATTGAGACATTATGGCGCGCCGCAGTGCTGGTTGCTGACTGTATGCACGAAAACGTGTTGCAACTGAAGTCCATGCATGGTTCCTGTGGCTACTAGGGCGGTTTGTCGTTGTTGTCCTGCTGTGATGTGTTCTCCCATTGGTACCATTACTAAGATGATCTTGTTTGTTCAGGCCTATGCGGCCTGCATCAGAGAAGTTATGACGCAGACTTCAGGGTCGAGTCTTGAAGGATTTGACTTTAGGAATTTGAGTTGCCAGGGCTAAGCGCTTGTGGTCAAGTTTCAGGTTTCAATCTTGCTGTCGCATGTGTGTCCAAAGCGGCGTTTTCGCGGATTGGAGTTTAAGCACCCAACCATCCGCATTCATATGAGGGACTGCTTGAAGGGTTGTTGCCGATCGGCACGCGGAAAGAGTCCCAACTGTTCAGGCATGCGTTATTTAAGGGCTGACGCCGTGCC